TGTGCATAACACCCAGTGCTCCATGCAGAACGTGCCCTCCTCAATACCCACCACCAGGCTAACCCATCCTCCCACCCCCCTCCCCTCTAGAACCCCTGAGGATTTTTTTTTTAACTGTACAGGAAATATACAGTGAAAAGTCAGGCTCCTTCTCATCTTCGACTCCTGTTTCCAGAGGGAGCTGCTAATGCTCACACGTATCTTCCCAAAGACACTCTCTGATTGACAAGGACGAGCATACGTGTATAGACATTTAGGTGGACGCAAAGCTATTTCCCTTTTATTTGTTAGACAAGTGGTAGCATAGCGCAGACAGCAATCTGGACTGTAATCATTTAACCTCCCAAGTGGAATTGCTGAAGGCACATTACCAGCATCTCTTGTGCCCTATTTATGGGTGTGTATCCCTGCCCATCTTATATGAGGCTTGAGCAAAGTGCAAAGAATAATTTGGCTGAATTCAATTCAATTTAATTTAATAAATTAAAAGAATCCAGCAACATCCTCTTCGTACAGATCAAGAATCTTTATAAAAGAATCTCTCAAGAGGGAATCTAATTGTAACTAAGCAGTTATCTCAGGAGAGTTAAGTCCAGTCTGTGTGTGATCACGACTTCCCTGTAAAAGCAAGCGTGTAAAGATTAATGTGCAAGGCTGGACTGGGTTTTACTATACAATTCCTTTGTGTGTGCGTGTGTGTGTGGAAGTTGAGCATTACGTTTATGAAACATATGTGATAAAAGTAGAATGTGAAATCTTAGTAACTCTTTTTCTTTTCTACAGAACTGGCAAGGGAACTGAATTTTTCAGTGGATGAAATCAATCAAATACGTGTGGAAAATCCAAATTCTTTAATTTCTCAAAGCTTCATGTTATTAAAAAAATGGGTTACCAGAGACGGAAAAAATGCTACAAGTATGCTGACATTATATTACTTTAACTTTCAAAACTGCATATATTCAGTATTTTAGATAAGCCTACTGTTAATAGACCAGAGTAATCATAAAGTAATAGCAAGTCTTTTGAAGTTATACTTGTTTAATTTAGCGCTAACATTCTAAACACCTGTCTTTAGGAAGCTTAAGAAAGCAGGTAGTGGTGAATTTGTTGCATTTTGTCTTTCGTTCTCTCCGTGACCATCAAAAATGAAAATCGAATTCTAGCTGTTAAATCATGGGGTAGTAGTCAGAAACACTCTGAGGCTACTGCTGTGGCCAGAGCTAGAAGCACAGGGAGAAAAAGAAAGGATAGGATCAAATCATTTTATTCAGCTTCAACTGTGCTGCAGAGAATTCTCCAGTATTTTTAGGTTCGGCTTGGTTTGGGGACGGGGTGGGGAGCGGTGCTATACTACGGCAATGTGAAATAAGTTATTGTGGGTTTGCCTGTGTCAGCCTGACCTTAGTAAGTCATTAAAATGCTAGGCATCAGATATGAGGGTGATCTATTTTGACAGTCTAAAAGGAGAGGAACATGTTTAAAATTTTAATAGATCCCCTCGTAACTAAAAGGAGTCTAGCTATTTTGAGGCCCATCTGCTCAGCATCGTACCGTGGAATGAATGTTGCTGTCACCACACATAGCTTCACAAAGTGATTCTTAAGACCCTGACATGACGTCCCTGTAACACCGAGCTTTCTGAGCCCTCTGCATGGTAATATGGCAGAGCCTCAGCGAGAAGGAGCTAAACCACTAGGAGGGTCGAGAACGCCATGCTTTTGTGTGGATATTGGGATGACTGGAAGAAAATAATCGGGTTTTCAACCCTTTTTTCTCCTTTTTCAGCTGATGCCTTAACTTCGGTCTTGACAAAAATTAATCGAATAGATATAGTGACTCTCCTAGAAGGACCAATATTTGATTATGGAAATATTTCAGGCACCAGAAGTTTTGCAGAGGAGAACAATGTTTTCCATGACCCTGTTGATGGTAATTGAATTTAGTGTTCATATTTATTTAATCATTTGATAAAATTTGAAAGTGTGTAGGACAAGGCAGTCACTTAAAACCAACTAAATTGTGATTTGCTTGACTTAATTTCTCATTTTCACAGCATTTTCTCTACTAGAGTCTGCAGATAAACACTCTGATAGAACAAACTTGATAAATTTCTGTTATAGTAAATACAAATAATGAGGTATAAAAGCATAGGTTAACTGAATTGGCATTTCAAATATTTTACATGACCAAGTGGAAGGAAATTTAATACCTGGAGAATGCATTGTTTTTGTCATTTTCACATTAACCTAAAAAACGAGTGAACTCTTTTCTTTACATGTTGATAAGACCAAACAACCAAGGTACTGGGTCAGGTTTAGGCATATTCCTGTTTGAATTCCTGTTTGGGGGGGCCAAGTATTTAAGCGTGTACTGAAAAAGTCTAATGCATCACTCAAAAACATGTTTTACTTATGTGGCATATTTTAACTTTATATGCTTCCATTTATTGTTTGGAAAAACCCTGCCTGATCTATCATATATAAAAGTCAGTGTCATTTCTAATTCAGTGAGCACAGATGTCACTAATAACATAGTAATTCCTTTTTTACATTAGCTTAATTTATATAAGAATATCATCATCTTTCCTTCAGTATGTAAATTGGGGCATTTTTTTAATCAAAGTATCAAAAAGTATAACAAATACTTTACTATGTTTTTCAAGGTGCTTGTCTTGCTTTACAAATGGAAATTTATTCCTATAATGAATTTTGAGTAAAACATGATGATGGTGTGGAGGTAGAAAGAAGAGCTTAGGGATATTTTTCTACTATCCCCAGTTTTGAAAAATATGGTGTTTTTCCCCCATTTTTTAAACTGGCAAAGTTAGACTAACAAAAATTAACAACTTCTAGTTCTAGATATATTATGTAGCAAAGTTGTCAAATTCTTAAAAAGTTTCTGCTTGCTAAAGTTAAAGTCAACAGAAAATTTATAGCATACTTTATTATCCACATAACACAATGGGCAATAATGTCAAAAGAGGTTTCTTTTTAAGCTTATAAATGCCACAGAACCTTGGAAAAAAGCTCTCTTCAAGGCCTCATCTTATATGTAAGACCATGTAATGGTAGACAGTCTCTTTTTGCACTAAAGGTAGACCACTGTTATATCAAATTCTGAATTATTGCCAAGTTATAGTTTATGGAATCTTTTAATATTCTTTTTGGGGAAAAATTTTTTAACAAAATACCTAACAAACAAAAAAAAAAAAGAAAAGAAAAAGAAAAGAAAGAACTAACAAGCAAGATAACCAGAAAATAATGGAAATAGTCAATAGAATTGAAAGCTTTATTTATTTTTAACATTTTAAAATCATTAAATAAATTCACAAGAATTTTTCGTGGCTACATCTTAATATTTTATGTTTCTTATTTTAAAAAATCACAGGGAAATTTAGGAATGTGTGTATGAAGTAAATTTCACTTATGCAGATTATAAACCTCAGCTGAAATCTCAGCCAGCTTTTCAACAAGATTCTGGTTTATAGGTGACTATACTTACCTATAGCAGTTTGAATTTACAACAAAAGCTAAGTTGGTATTTGTCACGGACTGATGGGAAAATTAGGCTCTCATTTTGTAAACCATTGATTCAGAAAATGTGCTTGGCTGCCTTTTTTTCCTGTCTCTCCTCTTTGTTGAACTTTTATGAAACCTCCTTTCCTCACCATGACCAGACCATTGTTGACTTCTCTCTCTGCTGAAGGAGAAAAATATTCCCTTTGTCCACACAGTGAAGGTTAAAACAAGGGAATTGTTTCCTACTTCCCCTCTCAGTAGGCTGGGGAATAAATAAACCTCCGTGTTTCACAGTAGTGTCGTGAATATTCAGAGAGCTCTTTGCAAATGGCTTTCTTCCTGTCTCTGTTGTGTATCATTTCTTTTTTCTCTTTATTTGATTTGTGGTTCTGAGTGGACCCCTCTCACCAAGTTCACTAAGACCTCCATATACACCACAACCCTTTCATCTCTGTCACATTATGACACCTGAAGATTTTCCTTGGAGTCTTTTCTACTTTATCTGCTTTTCAAATCCTTTTCCTAACATCTTTTTAGATTTTTTTTCCCAGTGCTACTGCTCTAAAATCTAATAATAATTTCCTTCCAAAGATTAAATGTATTTTCCTTCACGGTAAATTTCAAGTGAATAAAAGTGAGAATTAGAGTTGGATAGCATTGCTCATATGTAAAGCTCTTAAAATAAGTTATAAGTGACTTATGAAATTTGGTTTCTTGTGGCTTGCTGTATGCAGTCCACCACAATATGGAATTTTGCATGCTAAAAGTAGAAAGATAATAAATTTGGCCATGGAATAAGTGTATCTTATATAACGATAGCTAATTTTGTATTGGATTGAATTAGTCTGTATATTTAAGTTATTGTATTGAAATTATCAAAATTGATAGAAATCATTTATATCTTAATTAGTATTCTGTTTTATTATAGTGTGCACTAGTCTTTTATTTCATTGTATTACATTTAATTGAACTAAACCAATAAATTTATGAACATTATTCTGTAACTCATCATACATTTTCATACCTGATATAATTTAATTCATTCCATGTGTTTTGTTTGCTGTACTCTAATTCATTCCAGTCAGTCCGAATGTACTGTCTTCCATAGGTTATCCTTCCCTTCAAGTGGAACTGGAAACTCCCACAGGGTTGCACTACACACCACCCACCCCTTTCCAGCAAGATGATTATTTTAGCGATATCTCTAGCATAGAGTCTCCCCTTAGAACCCCCAGTAGACTGAGTGATGGGCTAGTGCCTTCCCAGGGGAACATAGAGAATTCAGCAGATGGACCTCCAGTTGTAACTGCAGAAGACACTTCCTTAGAAGACAGCAAACTTGAAGACTCAATGCCTTTAACAGAAATGCCTGATGCAGTGGATGTAGATGAGAGCCAGTTGGAGAATGTATGTCTAAGTGAGTATCCTCAATACCTCGGAAGTATGGCTGGGGTCCCAAAAGATGTTAAACCAGCAGAGCCATTCAAACAGCCTAGTAAAATAGGAGTAAGCTCTGAGCAGCAAGAGAAAGGAAAATCTGGTCCTGATGAGGAGATGACGGAAGAAAAACTCAAATCTCTATTTGAGGACATTCAACTTGAAGAAGGAGTAGAGTCTGAGGAGATGACAGAAGAAAAAGTACAGGCTATTCTTAAACGTGTTCAGCAAGCAGAACTGGAAATGTCTTCAATTTCAGGTTGGCAGAACGAGACATCAAGTGGAAACCTAGAGTCCTCTGCTCAAGCTCGAAGAATAACTGGTGGGTTACTAGAACGGCTGGATGACAGGTATGGCTCCGTTTCAGAAAATAGAAAAGCGAATCACAGGTTACATGTTAGTTAACTGTTTGTTTTAAATACCTGCTTTTTAGCAATTACTCTTTTTCTAAATCACCATTCCAGTTTGGGGATAATACCTGCCTTAAAGGTTGGTTCATTCTGCTAATCCGGAGAGGGAAAGTTACATGACATCCGACTCTTGATCGCAGCTCAGTTCTTGAAATCATGGTTGTGAGTTCAAGAAATCACAGCCAGCCCCCTGCTGGGCTCCATGCTGGGTGTGGAGCCTACTAAAAAAAATAAATAAATAAAACAAAACAAAAAAACAACTCCTGATAGCCTGAAGTAAAATGCAAACAGTTTTACATGCATGCCAAAGATGTATATGTTTACTTTAGAAGACTGCTCTTTTCTAGTTTATTACTTGCATTATTCTTTTCACAAAGCCAATAAGTAATGCACTTTCAAAATAATGTAATAAATAAAACCCCATGTCTTTTAGAAATATGAACATTTCTATTGTTTCCTGACTTCAAACATAATATGCTTATTATGCAAACTTTAAAACACAGATGTAAAAGGTCAAAACCCCATCATCTAGCAATAACTGCCACTAAAATTTGAGATTTTTTAAGATTTCTTTTACATACATTTTTCTAAATGTCTTAATGTAGAAAATGCAGAGAAGCAAAAAGAAAAGTTATCGGTCCTCCTACCGTACTAAGAAAACACTTAACATTGTATATCCTTCTTTTTTCCTACGTGAACATTTTATGTAATTTGCAACATTGCATATGTAATTTGCAACATTGCATATGTAATTCTTCACTCCAAATAATATTGCCATGGTGGACACTTGATTACGACCAAAATAATTCCCTAATCATGAATCTAGTTCTTTTTTATAGTGAACTTACTCTAGGAAGGTGAGAATCTAGTGTCCTTCAGATATTGGTTCAAATCCCACCAGCATTAGGTTTGCACTTTGTGACTCTGGATGAATTTCTAAGCTCTAAGAATGTCAGTCTAATCAGCTTTAAAAACTGGAATACTGCTGCTTTCCTCAAGCAGGTTTACAGATTGGAAAAGAAAGCCTATAGAAGGGCTACCGGATGACTGGTACAAATAGTCTCTCAGTACTAGTTGGCATTATTTTTATTTATGCATACATCAGACTAAAATATATTTTACTTCAGTGGCAACTAGTGATAACCTCAGGGTTTTTGCATCCAACTTAAATTTCTTTCATAACCATATTTAATATTTTCACATTGCTGATAAGCTTCTTGCTCGATAAAAATTCCCAAAGAGGGAGTTTATAACATTTTGCACAAAGGAGTCTAGAAGATTCCTGTAGAAGAATGGTAAGTCCAAAGAATTCTGTGTTCAGCCTACCAGACTGTTGCAAAGACAACAAATAGTACTAATTTTGATGTCTGTGTTCTAATATAGTCACGTAATCTATAGTTGCATAGCAGGAAATAGATACATTTAGATTATAGCATCTTCATACTGTGCTGGGACCGAAATCCTTACATATATGGAATAGGGTGTGCTGTTGATTGGGGGTTGTTTATATATAATCAGAATTTGATTTATAAGAATACACACATACTTACAGACATTTATATATATATATATCATGCATATAAAATATTGTGCTAGTTACCACCTTCAGAATTCTACAGGTAATAAAGACACTAAAAACAGTGCACAAGCTAGAAAATAAAAGTCTATACTGATACTAGTAAAAATTAGAAATCAATTTAAAAGAAAGTATTGGAAGAGAAAGATTGTTAACAGTTGAAAGGAAAATAATCCTCACAGAACAGAGAAGCGACAGGTGAGCACCAATACCTGCTCACCAGCGGGAGCCAGCAGAGGTCAGGGGAAGGGAAGGAGGAGACCCAAGTAAGGGTGTGAGGGTTGCAAAGTCAGGATGGCAGGATTCACAACTGGAAACCCATCCAAAGACTGAAATGTGGGATGCTTGGGGTTGCCAGAGCTCTCCAAACAGGAATGCATTTGATTCTCAGCCAGCAGTTTTTTCCCTGGGCAATGCGAAAGCCTTTTGCAGTATCCTCCTCCTCTTTTAGATCGGTGGGTCTGGAACTCTGGGTATGTCCATGAACCTCTCAAGATGACTTTTAAAAATCTCAAATCCAAGTAGCTGTAGCAGTGCAATTAAACAAAACAAAACAGAAACTAGGCAGGTTGGGAATTGGGGTGTGGGGGAAGTCTGGGTCCTCACCCCCAAACCCATGATCGCCCCTCACACATCAGATTTTTCATGCCTTTCTATTTTATGCCTATAAAAGTGATTTAAAACATGGTTGTTAAAATTTAGAGCTTCTAAAGCCCATTTTCAGCCATGTATTACCATTGTAAATTTCCACATTTTCTCTTTTGCAGCCCTGATCAGTGTCGAGATTCTATTACCTCATATCTCAAAGGAGAACCTGGGAAATTTGAAGCAAATGGGAGCCATGCAGAAATCACTCCAGAGGCAAAGACAAAATCCTACTTTCCAGAATCCCAAAATGATGTAGGGAAACAGAGTGCTAAGGAAACTCTGAAACCAAAAATACATGGATCTGGTCGTGTGGAGGAACCAGCATCATCACTAGCAGCCTATCAGAAAGCTCTAGAAGAAACCAACAAGTTTGTAATTGAAGAGCCTAAACCCTGTGTGCCTGTCAGTATGAAAAAGATGAGTAGGACTCCTGCAGATGGCAAGCCAAGGCTTAACCTGCACGAAGAAGAGGGGTCCAGTGGGTCTGAGCAAAAGGTATGCAGTCCAGTTATCTGATACACTGTCAGTTAAGCCAAGAGTACTGATGCTTCACGTCCTTTGATTAATCTTGTAACACTGGGCCCAAGGTTCTTTACTATTTCCAAATTATCAGTGCTAACACTAATGGCGGGGCTGAAGAAAGCACTAGGTAAAACACATACTCTTTGATTATATTTTTCATTCACTGAGTAGGAAAAAGGGAGAAGCATCTCTTCAGCCATTTTTCAGGAGAAAAAAAGAACTACAGAGATGTTATGTTTAAGGTCCAGTGGTAATTTTGTCTAGGATTTGGATTTGGGTTTCCTAACTCCCAGCCCAGTCTTCTTTCTTATGGAAGGAGGATAATTATTCTGACTTTTCCTGGTTCTTCTGCATAATTTAGAGTTTATAGCGTGTGACCCATCTAAGAGTTCTACCCTATAAGGTCTGTTGTCTGAAAGCATGTTTTAAAAATTAAAGAAACCCAGTGCCCAAGCCTGATATAAGGTGGGTATATACGACTGTTGGTTGACATTTAGAAATTTGAAGTTAGAGGTTTGTTCATCTAAGTTGATAACTATCTTAATATTTGTTTTCAATAATTTTAAAGGCTTACTGTCATAAAATTATTTGCTTGCACTTTGTACTTAAAACATGTTTACCATCTAATAGATTTTTTTTTCATTCTTTGAGGTTTACCACTTTTAGATATTAAAAAATTTTGAACTGAAATTTATAATTCATAGATGGATATAAGAAAATAAAAATTAGTTCCATTTCCTACACATTTTTTTTTTACTGCTTTTTGCTCTCTCAGTCGTATCTTTTCCTGAACCATGCAGTAGGTGTAGGCTGAGACATGGACATCTTGGAATCGTAGCACTTGCAGTTTTCCCTAAAACATCCAGTGGTGCTTAAGACCTACTGCAGTGTTTGGGATTAAAAAAAAAAACAAAACAAAAAAACCCCCAAGTCTTTTATAAAATAGCAAGTCCATGATTAAGTCATGGTTTACAAAAACTTTATTAGTAAACTCCCAGTCACTGAGGAGCTAATGATCAGCTGATCAATTAATCATATCCTTTCCTTTTCCCTTCTGCAGGCTATCTTTTGACCATTTTCCTGTGTGTTAGGAGGGAAAGTGAGAGGAAGTAAAATTCTCAGGGCTTCCTTTCACTTCCTGACAAATGGGTTGTGAATATTGATTTCTTTCAGTTAATTCTTAGCATATTTAAGCAGTATGACCTTGGATGTTCCCTTTTAAAATGAGTCCACAAAATACAGAAGGAAGCAGTAACATTGTGATGTCTTAACTATGGAAGTTTACTATTAAAAATCCGTAGAGAAGCTCTGAAATCAAATGATCATCTAAATATAAATAAGCACTTGGTGTGTACACATGTGGACACATTCGCTACTGGGGAACCGGGGAGAAGGCAAAAGAGGGTCTGAAATGAAAGTCTTAACCCTGAATGGAAGCTCAGCTGAGTTCATCAGTACTGGAACATAATTACTCTTAGTGTTTTCAAATTGCTATGAGATCGTGCTTTTGGTATTGGTTACAGGTCCTACTCTAATGCCTAAAAAGTTTTCATGAGCATAAAAGTTCTTAATGGAGTTAAAGTTTCTGGGACTTTCTGATCTCACAAGAAATCCCAAGATGTTCAGGATGTGTCTTTTTTGGCTAGACCGTAATAGAGTAGTCGTCTGATGTATGGTCTCAGAAAACAGTCCCCTTTTTGTCCCCTAAAAAATCAGGTCAAAAGTCCGGGTGCGGCTCTTACACGGATGACTGCTTGCTGTTACAAGGTAAACTTCTGCTCTTTTCCACCTCTTTCCATGCAGTGACCCATGGCAAGCCATACTGAAACAATCCCGTTTGTCTGTCTACTAGTTACGCTCTTCGCCAATTCTAGAGAATTCTCTAAAACGAATCCTGATCAAGATTCTACTACCATCTTCTCTCTACCTTTCACCTTCAGATTAGCAGAGACTTGAGGCAGAAAGTAGAAACTAAACATTGGCCAAATGGACATTTTTCTTTCTGAAAGGGACTAGTCTCAGATGATTCTTGATAGGATTATAATGCAATTGATGTCTAGGTTTGGTAGTGTTTGCATTAACATATGTTCTGCTTTTCAATTTACCCAAGTGAAAACCTTTCCCCAGTTTACAATTCTGTGTATGAATAATTCAGATTGAATTTTCACTTTTGCCTCATCTAATCTGTTGATCCCTGAATGCTGATTGGGAATTCTTTTCTTTCACAATATGAATTCCTCTTTTTCTGCCTTTTTGAGCTGTTTCAGTGCCTCCTTTCACAATACTGGGATCATTGTAAGTTTTCTGAATTTACAATCTTTTCTAAAACATTTTAAAAGAGGGAATTTAGCAGCCAATATCTTTGCAAGGAATAAACTTGAAAACTTTCCTTTTGACACCATACTATTCAGTAGGGTATTTTGTTCAGGTGAAATTTCTTAAAACGTTAGGGTTATTGTATTTTAAAGTATTTGTTAAATGTACCTTGGGTGAAAAATAGTCTACTTTATTATCTATTTGACAACATTTTTTAAAGAAACCCTGGTTTATTACTTTCTGCCACATTTTTAAAAAATATTTTATTCATTTATTTGATAGAGATAGCGAGAGCAGGAACACAAGCAGGGGGAGTGGGGGAGGGAGAAGCAGGTTCCCGCTGAGCAGGGAGCCCTACGCAGGGCTTGATCCCAGATGAAGGCAGATGCTTAATGACTGAGCCACCCAGGCGCCCCATTGACAACATTTGACAATCACTTTAGCTAACGCTTGTACCTCCTGTAACAATTTTACTTTTTTCCCCCTATTTTTACCAACACTGCCACTGATTTTTCCAATGGATATTAACTGCAGTTTCTATCTCCGGGACTCTCAGATTTGGGGCAACTAGCAAACTTAGAAAATAAAATGCCAGAACTATTTTCAGAATTCCACCATTAAAATTTAGAGATAAAATCATTCAGTAAATAGTCTTCACCATGACACATTTTTCCCTTTTTCTCATCTTTATTGCCTAAAAATTAATATTTTGTGTACTGCTTGTATTCTTGTCTATACTGTCTTCTTGTCTGTCAGATGTTTTTTCTGTCGTCGTTTCATATCAGATCTTTAAAATAAGACTCCAAGTTTTTACATGTTTTACATTATGTCTTCATTCATTTGCATAAACTCTTACTGAGCACCGATTGTGTGTTAGGAGCCAATTATGCTGCTAAAAATCTCCCAATATAAATACATGTGGCAAATTCTACTGATGTCAATTCTTTACTTTTTTATAAAGTTCAAAATAGCTTTTGATAAAGTTGTCAAATCTGACCAAAATTTCATAAAAATCAGATGCTATACCTCTTTCTGTAGATCAAATGAAGCATAGCCATTCAGGTCAAATGTATAGAGATTTAAAACGAGTTTTAAATAATGAATATTAATTTCTCTTCAAACTAATAATGAGTAGCATGTAGTTTCTGATACCAAAATGTCTCTTATAATTATTTTTATTTAATTACATTGATCTTTACCATATATATGCACACAAAGATCAGTGTAATTAAATATATGTATTAATACACATACACACGTAATACATACATATACAGAGTCATTTCATTTAGGATCCTGCTCAAAATTTTCTTCCACTTAAATTTTTTTTTAAGATTCTCACAAATACATATCGTGATGTTCCTTAGCAGGGAAAACCAGCAAGTGAAAGTAATTCTTTTTTGATTTCCTTTCTCAGAATGTCTTTTATTTTAAATGTGATGGTAAAATTATCCTAAAAAATGCATTTATCAGGACTTGAAAGACAGTGAGAGTGATTCGAGCTCAGAGGAAGAACGGAGAGTCACTACCCGCGTTATTCGCCGGCGTTTGATTATAAAGGTATCCTGTAGCCGGATTGTGATGGGGCATTGCTATGGGATTAGAAAGTCCTTCCTTGTGGCCTTGAGAATTCAGCATGCTTGATAAGTAAGCGGCTCTATATATGCTTCTTCGCACATCTGAAAGCTTGTAAGAACCACCACCAAGAGGAAAGGGTCGTGTTGTATGGTAGTGAGTATTCAGTCTAGGCCTGTGTCTGACTCGTCGCAGCTGTAATTTTGTCTGAGAATTCTTGGCATTTGTATCCTGCCTTCCCTGAAAAAGTCTTGTATGTGAACAAAGATTTTATCTTGGTGAGAGAATAGTTCATATCAAATGAAACGGTCAGTGGAAACGTCAGAGGCCACATGAGGTATGAGGTCAGATGGAGAGGGACAATGAAATAATGAAAAGGCTCTCTCCTCGGTCTCAAATTCCTACTGCCTGAACAGCTCTTGAGTAAAAACCAGTTCTGTTACCGATCAGTAGCTGAGAATTTGGTTATAGCCTGGCATGGATGTATGTGCCATAAACAAAATCAGGCAAAACCTTCTGAAAAAGGCCTTTAACTTGACTAACATACAGAAAATCAGGCTGTATTTGTAAGTATAGGAGGCATTTTTTTACTGGATGTAAAAGTATTATCCTCCCCCTGTTGCAGCACAGTTGAACGCAATGAATAAACCTTCATTTCCCCCACAAAGGCCTTTGGAAGCACTGACTTTATATGCCTGGTCAGGTCGGGCAGAACGCTTCCCACAGTCTGCTGCTTGTCTTCATTACTGGACTCTGTCTTTAGAGAGAAATTTCTTGATGTTAGAATAATTGACTGCAGAAATCAGGAAGCCATTTTCAACACACAGGCCTTTGAATGTGGTCCAAATAACTTGAGGCTCCTTGGTTGACAGCTCTGGAAGGAAAGAAGGAAAGGAAGGGAAATATCTATTGAAAACCATTTATCAGATTTACCATCCCTTTCCAAAGTGTCAGGAAACCCATGAGAGAGTAGAGAAGGTGGCTTAGGTATCTAAAACTCCTGCTGCTTGTACTTTTCATGTAGATCAGATGAAAGAAGAGAAGACAATCTGCCAAATCTGCTCTAGTGTAGGTTTTCTCAGGCTCTGGAAGCATTAGAGAAGAAAGTAAGTCCTTGTCTAAATCTTAAACTATCCCCAAATCAATCAATAGACAGCTATATATATTAAAAACAAAACAAAACAAAAGCATGAATCACTTCTTTGACAATTCCATCTAGGCAAGCCAAATTACTAATTGGTATCCAGCATATTTGCAAGTATTCACCCCGCTTATAAAATCTTCATAATCACTCACCTCCCACACATTCCCTGGGATTAGGGGAAAGAAATACTTAATACAGGTTTTCTGAAGGAGTTAAAACTATACTCTTTGCTCAGTCAGGCTTTGCCCTGCCCAGAATCAACGTCTTCAAAAAATGATATTTTAAAGTGAAACGACCAGAAGAAGCGCACCAGACAAATCATCTTGTAACTTGCTTTTTATGCTTAACATACGACATACTCATGTTGCATCCCAATCTACCTCATTACTTATAAAAGCTGCTCATTATAGAAGTTGAATCTCCTCTGTATAGGGCAGAAGAAAATAAACAGAATCCTGCAAAAAAAAGTGAGAGGGAGAGGATAAAGAAGTTTTACTCTGAAGAGCACAAAAACAAAACAATAAAAACACAAAACCCACCAAATCAATGAGGGTTACTTCTCTTGGTCTTCTAGAATTCTAGACATGCATTGGCAAGTTAGCTTTTAAGCAATTTTGTCAGAATGTGTTATTTATATATTTGAACTTAATATATAATTATGTGTAATATATAAACATTTTTATTAAGAGCTTAAGTTTAAGAGAGAAAATTACACTACGATGGCTTCATAAAACAGAGGGGTCTATTCTCCCCAAATCCCCACTGCTTGAAGTTAGTGTAATTTTAGGGAGGTTGAGTGGAATGACCAGAGCATGGGTTTTATAAGTGGAGAGAGCATTGTATAAACAATAGAATCAAACAAACTTGGAGAAACCGAAAGCTAGCAAAAATAGCTATAATTCGGTATAACAAAAATCATTATAAATTACACATATAAGGATCCGGTTACTCGTTTTCTGTTCAGATTTTGGGGGCTGTTGGAAAGTGTCACACTTCTGTTGCTTTTCTTTTCACTCTATATGTTGCTATCTTTCTAATGTTAAAAGAGCTTGAAATTGCCGTAGTATACAGTACTTATGACACGGAAAACACCTCTGCCAAAAACATAATAGGAGAGTGTTAGGATGGAAAGGGATCATTGATACTAAAATCACTTCTTTTCTGAGATGACAAAACCTAGGGACTAGGCGGTTGGCTTTACCCAAAACCACGCAGCAGGGCAGCAAGCAGTCTGGGACCCCCCCAGCCTGCTCTCCAGCCCTCCAGTGCAGTGCCTTCTACCTGCTTTTCCCTCCTTGCTAAGTTCTTTCTCTTCTAGAACAAGTTATTAAGGAATAACTTTTCCTAGACCAAATTAGGCACTTGGCCACTTAAACATTTCCAGTGGCATGGAACAGGGCCGCCGTGGGCTGTCTCTCCTGGAAATTATCTGATGAGACTGGAATGCTGAGAATTTGGCCTTCTTCACGGAGGTTGTCCAGCCTTGGGCCAGACGAGCATATTTAGACTGTTTGCCATAGTAATCCCTCTAGCACTCAGGCTCTCAGAGTTGAAAACCACTTTGGGGTTGTTCCGTCCCTCCCCGAGCTAGGTTGGGCTGCAGTGTCCACACCTGCAGGAGATGGGCTCAGGGCTTCATGACTGCAAGTCGAGGCCAATCCGTCTTCTTAGCCATTCAGTTTGTACAACTGATGGAGTGAAAGTATAATTTTATGGTTTTTCTCTTCAATTTCATAAGCAGGTTCACCCATTTCTTCTGAAGTTTGTTTTTTTATTTTTGTTTTTCATTTACTATTTTCAAGTCCCTAAGGAATGAGTCAAGTGAACAAACTCTTCTAATTGTGGGGGGATTTTTAGATTTTATAAGCACATCCATTTATTTTTATATAATTTGATAATATCACAGTGGTTTCAAATGCTTAGAAGCAGCTTGAGTAAATTAACTCGTCCTATGAGCTTGTTTATAGTATGTGCTGAGTTAGTGATTACAAAGACAAAAACATTAACTCACAGCCAAACTATTAGGAAGTTTGGTAAGGTTCAAATAACTGAGTTTTTATTATATAATTCAGCTGTATTTTTATTTCTACTTCTGAACTTTTTTACTAACCATATAAGTTTTCCCCAAATCATCAATCAAAAGTATATAAAGTTTGATCTACTCATTCTATTTCCCAGAGGTAACCACTGTTCCTGAGCTTCAGATTATTTTTATGTACATGTATTGGTATGTATATAAAATGTACATGTACATTATGTGCATGCATACACACATTCCCAGCAAGTGGGTTTCTCAGAATATAATAATGGGTTATACCATCACATAGTGCTTAGTAACTTGCTAAGTTATATATGTCACAAATGTGATATCCATCCCATTTGGGGGGAAAGTTTAAGTTCTAATGTTACAGACATCAGAGCCAATTGGTACATCTCATACTGTTATTCCTTCCTTTTATTCAAGGACAGAGGAATAAAAATTATGAAATGCAATGCTTCCAGCAGAGGTCCAAAGGGAAGAACAGCTAGTCTTCATTAAGGTGGCCACCAGGGATGATACTGTGACACCATATGTGCTGTAATTTTCCTTTGAAATAGGAAAGAAAAAAGTGGGGGGGAGGTATTGCCAAAAATAATGCCATCAACAAGACCTGGGGGGAACTTTTGCTTAGTTCAAAGTACAAACTGTTTTCTAGAACTTTAGGAACTAATTAGAGATTATTTTCTGTCATAAAGAAAGGCCCAAAAAAGACCTCTCCTGGGTAATACTTGGTCTCTAATATATTTGACAGAATTAAAGATGGATGATTTTTTTTTAAAACCATGTTTCCTGACTCCTTCCTGTCTTCCCTCTTTATCTAATCAACCCCTCACTTATCCACTCCCCCAGTTTAGTGAGTTTCCACATCACCACGCAACTTACTTTGGCCTTAGTAAAGCACTAATTGACTGTATTTAATGGCCACTAAGATTAAGAGAGGCATCTTTATCTTTAGCTGTACATAAGCAGTATGAATTTTCAGTAGGAAACATGAAAATGCCCACATGCCAGAGTAGATCTCAACAACTTATAGGGCTTGTTATTTATAAATAGGACTTTGCTTTTTTCTAAGGCTATTAATATAAATCAAAATTCTTCTACGTATTCGCTATGTTTATAAATACACCTTATTTCACATTCCTCTCAGCGACTGTCCAGTTAACTGGCATCATTCCCTGCTAAAGAGTACATTCATAACTTATCCAATAGGATTCTGTTTTACTGGATTTTCCTGGGATCCTCAAATTAGCTACATGCAAAGAGCTGGACATTTCCCTGAGTTAGCTCAAAAATATCTCATTTATTCATTTTTAAACTAGAGGGAAATCTTTCACAACCTTTTATTGGCTTTTTTGATGTCTTTATGCCTTTACTTTTTTTTTTTTTTTTTTTTAATGTAGGCTCCATACCCAGTGTGGAGCTCAATGCAGGGCTTGAACTCACAACCATGAGATTAAAACCTGAGCTGAGATCGAGTCGGACGCTTACCTGACTGAGCCAGCAGGCACCCCTAAGCCTTTACTTTTAAAATAAAATGAAATTTGTTTTCTTTTCCACAACCACAGGAATTAAAACTTGTTGCAGATTTTAGTGTATTTAAGCATGAGACCTCTACATTTTTCCAATTTCCTTCTCCCTCTTAACTGTGCTAACTGAAACTAATCATAAGCAAGATCCAAAGGGAGCTAAACATGAGCAGCAAGAAACATCTTATTTTTTTTTTTTAAAGATTTATTTATTTCAGAGAGAGAGAGCGCGCAAGCATGAGCAGGGGGAGGGGCAGAGGGAGAAGCAGACTCTTGGCCGAGTAGGGAGCCCAATGCGGGGCTCGATCCCAGGATCCTGGGATCATGATTCAAGCCGAAGGCAGACGCTTAACTGACTGAGCCACCCAGGTGCCCCACATCTTATTTTTCTGTACCACAGTGAAGAAAATAAGTCCATGTCTTTCCTAATCATGAACTGTGAGCCTACAATCTGTAAGAATATAAAGGCACTTTGTAAAAAGAATGAAAACAGAATTTTTTAGCCAAACAAGACAATGTTTTAGTCTTTACACTGCCTTTCTATGGGCTGTGACATAAAACAATCACAGAACTTTCTGACCATTGGCTGGCGCTGAAAAAAATTATCAGAACTACTACCTTTTCCAGACCAACGACACTGAAAGAGTTAGAATCCTGGCTCTCCCGGAAATGTAGCTGTCGTCTCTGTGATCCGCCATTTTCCCTGAAACAACTGCAGGTGAACAACAACTGCAGTACACCGTTCTATAGCATTATCCAGGCCACCTTTTCAACAAGAAGTCTGACCAGCAGGTCACTAAGTCCCTAGAGTAGGTCTGCACTTAAGATGTTTGTCCCTGTTCCCCCAAACTATATGTGGCACTAGAAGAAGGTGATATATTGCAAATACGGCCCTATTTTTACTGAGTGGTTTTTCTTATACAATTATAGAGCCAATAGGGAGAGATTAAGGAGCCATCCAAATCTACCAAGCTGGAAAACAGGAGCCCACCATGGGGAGTTAAGACTTTATTCCATTTTTTAAAACTCACCAGAGGAAGATCTTTGACAGTTTCCCTTTCTAAATCAGTTAGCAGTCACTAACGGAAAGACAACATTGTTTTAAATTCCTTTAGTACTGATCTTTTCTTTGTCTGTAGCCATGGAGATTAGATGATCTATCATCACAGAAGACCCCTTCATTTGAAAATAGTAGTCAGAAACTGCATACTTCATCAGAGTCATTCCCATTTATTTTAAGACCTACAAAAGGCTTAGTTTTAAAGAAAAATAAATAAGAGTTTCTCTGTACCCTGAACTTTGCTTATAAAAAAAGTCTATGTTACCCTTAGTAAATGAATTTTTAAATGAAAAAAAAAACAAAAACAAAAAACTGACAAGGGCAATAAATATAATGCCCCGACTAAGGTACCATCTTAATTTAGATTAAGCACAATGCAACCCAAAAATTATTTGAGAGATTTGGTAGGACTAATCAAGAAACACTGTGATCAAAATGAGATGATCTAATCAGAGCTCTAATCATTGGCTAATTTTTTTTCAACAAATGAAAACTTTTGGTTTGTATATCAACATGTAACTGTGTTTTATCATTCTTCCTTCTTGGAGTTAGCTGCTAGCCATCATTCTTGTTACATACCTAAGGTTTAGTGCTTTGAATGTTGTTGGCTGCTAAATAACCATCAGAGGAGTCTGCCTTTTCCCCTTGCCCTCGAGTAGCAAGTAGAATTTATACTTTCTTTTTCTAAAAATCCACAGAGCATGTGTGTGGTGTGTGGAGTGGTGTGGAGATCTGTCCCATCTAGTAGGTTGCTAATCTCTATGCCACATCCTTTAGGGAGAGGAAGCAAAAAGCATTCCTGGTGAATCTGTCACAGAAGAGCAATTTACTGATGAAGAAGGCAACCTCATCACCAGAAAAGTAATCATCATTAGGATTTTATGCTTCTCTTGGAATTTAGATTTCCTACTGTTTGCTGTAGTGTCACCTCTTAAAATAGAAAACAGGAAAATCTCTACTTCTCACTATTGCTTCCTACAGATCACTCGGAAAATAATAAGACGAATTGCTATCCCACAAGAGAGAAAACATGATGACATGGTAATGGAGAGGGGCTGCCAAAGAAAAAGTAGAGGATAATTGCTTTGTGAACTTTCTAGAACATGCTGCTAACAGGCTGGCATCTGCAGTGTGGCAGCTTGAAGTGTTTGCTGCTTTTGACAACCTGTGCATTTGATCAGGGTCAAGGAAAAAGACTTTTCTTCTTAACCTTCTTTAACATTATATATTTTTTACTGTCTTCAGAGTTTTCACAGAGATAGGTTCATTTATGGAGGGTAGAATGTGCTGGTCCAAGCATGTAAGAGAAATAAAATAAAAACCCTCTATCACCACCAGCCCCCTGGGCAGTGCCCCGCCTCCGCCTTTACCTTGCCTGCTGCCTGGCCTGGGACCAGGACAGAGGGCGCTCACTTCAGCAAATGTACAGGGTTTAAATGTTAGAATGGCAAAAAAGCTCAGTTCAGGATCCTTACATCAAATCTATACATTTTCCCTTTCCAGTATGTTCTACAGGGAAATCTGAATTCCCTCCTCTTAACCTGAGGGGGGGTTCTCCTCTTTGGGTTTATAACAGTCCATTTCCAGTGTGCAGGTGAAAGAACTAAACTCACCGCTGTGCAGTGTAACTCAGCAAATGCTTCTCCATCTCCCAGACAAAACACCTCTGGTTGTCATTTCTTTCCTTTTCTCAGATCTTTACCCTTTTCATTTTGAAAATAGAAACTCCAATAGCCTGTGTTTACGTAAGAAAAAGTGAACTGAAAATTTCTCAAGACTAACTCAGAAAAGTGGAAAGGCTACTGCGTTTCTGTCATAAAGCGGGTAAAAGTGGAGGATTTGTACAACTTTGCTCTTGGAGAAAAGTGTCCCTGGTGCTCAATGAAGAGAGGTCTTGTTTTATGGAAAATGGATGCCTGGTTGGAGTAAGAGGAGGGGGCTGGTAATTCCACAGATTAAAAGAAAAAAAGTCCCTTAGATCAACATTTCCATGGTGTTTAGTTCATGATTGGTGCTTTCCTGAGAGATTTTAGTCTCGACACAACAGATCCCTTAAAATTCTGTTGGCTTAAGAAGAAATAAATTATAATTTAATAATATTTTTTTAAAATTGGGGTTTGGGTGCCTTGAGGGCTTTGGTGATGATTACTACCAGAAGTGAACAGGCTACTCATTTTTTTAAATTTATCACTAACCTTTTTTAAAATTTTACTATTTATTATTTTTATTATCACTAACCTTTTATTTATCACTAACCTACTGAGTTCTTGTGAAGCATAGTTATGTTACTGTATTCATTCTGACGGTGCTCTCTAGCTTGCCTCCATGATGCTAGGCTGTGTGGTTAAGCCAAATAGATTGATTGCATGTATTTTGGGACATGAAGTGACAGTGCTTTCAACTGTGGTTCACTTACCCTAATCCAGCCTCAAGGGACCAGAATGGGAACCACTGTATAATTAAAACTCTTTTACTATGGAATCTTAATGCGTACATTCCTTTTTACAGCAGGGAGAAGGTTATAAGGTGAAGACAACAAAGAAGGAAATCCGGCATGTGGAAAAGAAGAGCCATTCATAACAGTAAACGGTTAGTCAAGGCGATAGGTGTGTTCATACCGGCAACAGTCGGCCTTAACTTCCTGTGAAACCTCTCATTTCACTGGATAAGTGATTCCGATCTCCCTGCCCTCCTCCCTCTGTTTTTCACTGAATTCCAGCTTTGAATACCCAGTGTGAAGGTGGAGTTATTTTTCTCTTTATGTACACATCCATACACACACTAAAACTCAGTTCACAGTCCATAAACTTTCTCCTCACAAATTAGTCAGGAATTTAAATGTAAATGGTGTTTGCAGAAGCAAATGTAAATAGTGACATTTGAGTCTCCTCTAAGAGCTGAGGCTCAGCGTGCAATGTTTTAGCATTCTACAACTAACAGAACTATCTGGCAACAAATAATTCTAACAGATGTGCTCTGATCCAGCCTTTCACCGTTTTAGCAGAACGGCATCTGACAATTTAATTTTGGTTGAAGTATAGTGGTTGCCAAGTTTAAATGAAATGACTGAGATCCCTATATACTACTTGGTGTATCTTATATACACCAAAGCAAATTAAATAGAAGGTTAATGGACTACTATTTTTTTGAAAGTTAAATGTTTGGTAAGCTTTGTGTGAATTGAACTTTTCCTCATAGGTGAGGATATTTTCTTTAACATTGTTTTCTAAATTTTACATTGTCCTATTATTTTCTACATAGCTATAATTAGGAAAGGTCACTTGAAAGGTGAAAAAGCAGATGGAGCTTTGAAAAGAAATTTGAAAACCTCGCTAAGTCTGTGAGGTGAAGTGGCATGATTTCTTGAGGGCTGCGTACGAACAGTTGTCTTAGCCCTATTGGTCCAAATGAAAAGAATAGATTCCAGTTTGCACTTGCATACATCTTCTGTCCCCCAATTACCAGAATCCTGGTGTTGAGTGTGGAGGTGAGGAACTGAGAAATCTTTGTCTCATTGCCCTGAATTTTGTAGGTGAGGTAACTAAGGCCCAGATAAACTTTTTTTATTTTTTATTTTAATTCCAGTTAGTTAACATAGTGTGATACTGGTTTCGGGTGTACGATATAGTGATTCAATATTTCCACACCTGGTGTTCATCACAGCAAGTATACTCCCTAGTCCCCATCACCTATTTCACCCATCCCCCCACCCACCTCCCCGCTGCTAACCATCAGTTTGTTCTC